ATCAGTATCTAATCCTTCTCAACATTCTCGACCCCGATGTCACAATAATTCTGCAGCTGCGCATAGAAAAAATCCAAGAATAGATATATGCGGCATGTATATTTCAAATCAAAAGCGCTTGCGTCGCTACCGTAAAGATCGGGATGCAGAAGAAAGAAACTCCGATGCCACACTAGTGCGCTCGCCGCCAACAAAAAGACCTCTAGAAGGCAAGTTCAAGGGCTGTTATTGGAGAGAGACAAATTGAATCTTTAATATTTGAGAAGCGTTCTGTACCGAGCCAAAGATGCTGTTCTCGATAATCAAGATATTGAATAAGGTTCGTCTTTCGCTTTACTTCCATCTCTACTGCAACATCTTGAATCCCGAATTCTGATTCTCGCGTGGCCTTGAATCTTGACACGGATGGGCGTGTTTCCGTCGCGGTCGACGTTTAATCACATGGGAGTGTACATGAAGGGTAAATTCCTATATGGAAGACCAAATTCTTCATGCTAGGGTACTCAGAAACGGCGTACTGCATTCAGTAAGAGATAGCTTGTTTTCGGGCACGCTCTTTTTTCTCTAACTTATTTTATCGTGTCTGATACAATGTTGCCGTGTTTATAATTATCTCTGATACAGCTTCGAAGTCTACTGCGGAAAGCGGCAAATGCAAGACGACCCTACACCTTGTGATAAAAAACCGAACCTGCAACAGTCGTGCCAAACCTTTCTCACGTCGCTGACGCAATCAAGGGCTCCAACGAACGCTCACAAAGCATAGCAAGCCCTGCACTAATTACGCGCCGAAACTAATGAGTGGTGTAAATAAAACCCCGAGTAGACCAGGAGGCGCCGCCAGGGCGCTTGCAAGGTCTGTTCGGTGCTAAAGCTGCTCGACCAACCGCGGGGAGGAGAGACATCCTTGTGCTGTGGTGTCTCCAATCTGAAAACAGCCTAAAAATGCTGCTGCTTCCTGTGTGTTCCTATGCAGCAAAATCAATCATGACACCCAATGTGTCGCGCTAACATGCTTCACAATCGAGACAAGCACAGGAAGAGCGGCGAGCTGATTCTCAAATCTGGCGATGAGGGGACGGGCGGCAAGCGTGCACACAGACCTGCGCGGCGTACTGGAGAAGGCTCCGCTGATGTCATAGGTGGCGTTGACTCCATAAGTGACGAGTGCAATTCGTCAACTACAGTAGCGCTGTCCATCCAAGCGTTCAGCGTGTTGAGCGATCTCATTGGCTACCGAGCGTGGCGAAGGCGGATCCGATTGGATAAAACTATAACTGCTGCCGAGCTGCGTTCGGCAATCCAAGCCGGCACCTCAGGTGC